CAGTTTAACAATCTGAGGGAAGATAAAATGCAAAAGAAAAAGTATGGATGAACTGTAAAGATGGGTGGTTTACTTTAAGTGCTATAAAAAATGAGCCTAAATGGATTAGTTTTAATTCATGTACAATGAGCTGAAATTATGGCATTAGGAATAAGCACATCGTAACATCTAGCAAGAAAGACTCTTGTATTAGCAGGGTTCCTCAACCTTGGCACTACTGACATTTTAGCTCAAGTAATTCTTTGTTGTGGGGTTGTCCTACCCATTGTAGGATTTTTAGCAGCATCCTTAGCCTCCACCTACTAAATAGTTATCACCTCCATTCACCTCCTACTAGTTGTGAGAACTATAAATGTCTCCAGATGCTCCCTAGGGGGAGGATAGGATGAAACTGCCTCCAGTTATGAACCTCTGTGTTAAAAGAAAGAACTACTATTCAAAATACATTTTCTAATACTAGATGATAAAAATGTGTAACACAGAATTATATGTCCATTATATCCAACTCAGTACATTAAAATAGAATGTATCTTGTCACAATCCCATGAAATATTTAAAACATTGATTGATGATAACTGAGCTCAGCACGATTAAAAGTGGAATATAAAAGCTAGGGAAAAAAAGCTCTAACACTAGAAATTAAAATAAGACAGGAACTCTTATAAACCAGGATAAAGAAGAAAGCAAAACCGAAATTCAGAACGTCTAGAAAAATAGCAAAATTGATTTATCAAATTTTAACTAAGGCAGTTGCTCAGAGTAAAATTCATTATATTTAATGTTTATATTACTAACCAAGATAAACTAAAAAAAAAAATCAATGAAATAGGTATTCAACTTAAGAAGTTAGAAGTGTATGGACAAGGTAAGAAAAATAGACGAGATCAGTAAAAAAAAAAAAAATAAGAGATTAATGAATTAAGAAACTGAAAAACAGCAGAACTAATTAATGAATTTTCTTTTCCTTTGGGAGATTTGCTCTAAGTGAAATCCAGAAGAAAGCAGAAATAACTTGATAGACTACTAATTAGGTAATAGGAAAAGTAAGAAAAGATAGACATACAAAATAAGAATGGAAAGGAAGTAAGCACAGGTTTTGGAAAGTTAAAGGGATTGGAAGAGTCCAAGAGTGTAAAGGCAGAGAGTTCAGGGACTTTTGTTTACTGATGTATCCCAACTGCCTAGGATGGAGCCCAAAGAGTGGCACACAAAAACCTTTGTTGACTAAATGAACAAATATATTTACACTTGCTAAATTATATGACACTGATAAATTTTGAGAAGACGAATTTGCAGTTGATCCTAGAAGAAATAGAAAATGTTCAGTCTCTTTATTGACAGAGCTGAAATTCTCAGGTAAATTCCACCAACACTTGAGGAACAAATAATTTTTTTATTTCTATTTTTATTTATTTTTTAAAGTTTTATTTAAATCCTAGTTAGTTAACATAGTGTTATCTTAGTTTCAGGTGTACAATATAAGTGATTCAACACTTCCATACAACACCTAGTGCTCATCACAAGAAGGGCCCTCCTTCATCCCCATCACCTATTTCACCCATCCCCCCACTCACCTCCCCTCTGGTAACCATCAGGTTGTTCTCTATAATTAAGAGTCTGTTTCTTGGTTTGTCTCTCTTTTTCCCTTTGCTCCTTTGTTTTGTTTCTTAAATTCCACATGAGTGAAATCACATGGTATTTGTATTTCTCTAACTTATTTCACTTCGCATTATACTCTCTAGCTCCATCCATGTTTTGGCAAATGGCAAGATTTCATTCTTTGAATAATAGTCCATTGTATATGTATACCACATCTCTATCTGTTCATCAATTGATGGACACAACTGCTTCCATATCTTGGCTATTGTAATAATGCTTCTATAAACATAGGGTGCATGTATCCGTTTGAATTAGTGTTTTTGTGTTCTTTGGGTAAATACCCAGTAGTGGGATTGCTAGATTGTAGGGTAGTTCTATTTTTAACTTTCTGAGGGAACTCCATACTATTTTCCACAGTGGCTGTCCCAATTTGTATTTATTTAAATTCCAATTAGTTAATACACAGTGTCACATTAGTTTCAGGTATAGAATTTAGTGATTCATCACTTACATACAACACCCAGTGCTCATCACAACAAGTGCCCTCCTTAATACCCATCACCCATTTAACCCATCCTCCTACCATCTCTCCTCCATTAACCCTATTTGTTCTCTATAGTTAAAAGTGTTTCCTGGTTTGCCTTTCTCTCCCCCCACCCTGCCATGTTCATTTGTTTTGTTTCTTAAATTCCACATATAAGTGAAATCATATAGTACTTGTTTTCTCTGACTGACTTATTTCTCTTAGAATACTTTCTAGTTCAATCTATGTTGTTGCAAATGGCAAGATTTCATTCCTTTTTATGGCTGAGAAATATTCCATTGTGTGTGTGTATATATATATATATATACACACACACACCACATCTTCTTTTACCATTCATCAGTTGATGGACGTTCGGGCTCTCCATAATTTGGTTATTGCTTTTTTTTGGGGGGGGGTTGGCTATTGTTGATAATGCTGCAATAAATATGGCCTTTATGATATTGAGGTGTGTTCCCTCTAGCCCTACTTTGTTGAGGGTTTTTATCCAGAATGGATGCTGTACTTTATCACATGCTTTTTCTGCATCTATTAAGAGGATCGTATGGTTCTTATCCTTCCTTTTATTAATGTGGTGTATCATTTTGATTGATTTGCGAATATTCAACTACACTTGCAGCCCAGGAACAAATCCCACTCAACTGTGGTGAATGATTCTTTTAATGTACTGTTGGATTCAATTTGCTAGTATTTTATTGAGAATTTTTGCATTCATGTTCATCAGGGATATTGGCCTGTAGTTCTCTTTTTTAGTGGAGTCTTTGGTTTTGGAATCAGGATAATGTTGGCCTCATAGAATGAATTTGGAAGTTTTCCTTCCATTTCTATATTTTGGAATGGTTTGAGAATGATAGGTATTAACTCTTCTTTACATGTTTGATAGAATTCCCCTGTGAAGCCATCTGATTCTGGACTTCGGTTTGTTGTGAGATTTTTGATTACTGATTCAATTTCTTTGCTGGTTATCAATCCGTTCAAGTTTTCTATTTCTTCCTGTTTCAGTTTTGGTAGTTTATATGTTTCTAGGAATTTATCCATTTCTTCCACGTTGTTTAATTTGTTGGCAGATAGTTTTCATAACATTTTCTTTTTTTTAAAGATTTTATTTATTAGAGAGAGAGAGCATGCACAAACAGGTGGAGACACAGGCAGAAGGAGAGGTAGAGGTAGAAGCAGCCTCCTGGCTGAGCAGGGAGCTTGTCTTGGGTCTCCTACTGAGCCACCCACATGCCCCAGTTTTCATAATGTTATCTTATAATTATTTGTACTTCTGTGGTGTTGGTTGTTATTTCTCCTCTCTCATTTGTGGTTTTATTTATTTGGGTACCTTCTCTTTTTTATTGATTAGTCTGGCTAGGAGTATATAAATTTTACTAATTTTTCCAAAGAACCAGCTCTTGGTTTCATTGATCTGTTCTACTGGTTTTTTATTTGTTTGTTTCTGTATCATTTTTTTTTCCTGCTCGAATCTTTATTATTTCCCTTCTGCTGGCTTTAGTCTTAGTTTGCTTTTCTTTTTCTAGCTTCTTTAGGTGTAAAGTTAGGTTGTTTATATGAGATTTTTCTTGCTTCTTGAGGTAGGCCTGTATTGCCATATACTTCCCTCTTAGGACTGCTTTTGCTGCTTTCCAAAGGTTTTGGACCATCATGTTCCTGTTTTCATTTGTTTCCATGTATTTTTTTTTTTTAATTTTCTTTAATTTCCTAGTTGACTCATTCATTCTTAGTAGGATGTTCTTTAACCTCCAAGTATTTGTGGTCTTTCCAAATTTTTTCTTGTGGTTGACTTCAAATTTCATAGTGTTGTGGTCAGAAAAGTTGCATGGTATGATCTTAATCTTTTTGTACTTGTTAAGACCTGATTTGTGACCTAGTACATGACCTATTCTGGAGAATGTCCCATGTGCACGTGAAAAGAATGTGTATTTTGCTGCTTTAGGAGAGAGTGTTCTAAATATATCCGTTAAGCCTATTTGGTCCAGTGTGTCATTCAAAGCCATTGTTTCCTTTCTGATTGTCTGCTTAGATGATCTGTCCATTGATGTAAATGGTGTGTTAAAGTCTCCTACTGTTATTGTATTATTATCAATGAGTTCTTTTATGTTTGTTATTGTTTTATATAAGGAACAAATAATTTAAAGCATCACTCTGAATCTCTGTCTTGATCTGTACATGGTGTCCTCCCTATATGTTGTTAGTGTCCAAATTTCCCCTTTTTATAAGGCACCAGTCTTACTGGATTAGGAACCACCCTACTCCATTATGACCTCATCTTAACGAATTATATATGCAATGACCTGCAGTGACCCTATTTCCAAATAAGGTCACATTCTGAGGTGCTAGGGGCTAGCTAGGACTTTAAGGTTTGAATTTGGGGGAGGGAGGACATAATTCATCCCAAAATAGATGGGAAGCTTGTGAGGGGTGTGAGCAGAGGGAGAGGTGAAATGCAGAAGCTCATATCAGACTGTCACTCTTTCCTGGACTTCCTGTTTTCTGTCTTCAACTCTTTCCCCCTCATCTCTGTATAACTAAGATAGGGTTCCCCTCCTCTAGTCTTTAGAAATATTCTTCCCCTTAAAAATGGTAGGACTCTTTCCCAATGACTGTCTTTTAAAAATGGTTTGAAATGTATGGTCCCTCCTCCACACCAGCCCCCTGAAATACGTTGAAGAAGTTTGATAACAGGAACAGGGCTTAAGTTTCTGTTCTTGTACTATGATACCCCCTTTTCTTCCCTTTTACCAGTGCTAAATGTACAGTAAGAACTTAATCAAAAGTCTTTTAATTGAATTGAATTCAGATTATTTTTCCCCTCCCCCTACCTTTAGCAACAAAATGGAGATTCAAGTGGTTCAATAAATCATCACATTTTATTATTACTTGTAAACAAAATATTTTCCAGAGAACAGCATTACATTAGCATCAGTGGATACAGTGAGATCAAGTTTTCTTAAAGTGCTGATTTCTCAGAAATGTATGTTTTCAGGTCATTGAAGATTATCTGTAAGCAATTGGTCTTGGAAAGACATAATTTTTGAAGAACTCTCTTGCCCAATGAAAATGACTTAATATGAATGAAAAAAAAATACATTGCTCCAGTTGAATTGACAATTGGTATATCTCTACTGAATAATTCTAATAATGTTCTTACTTAAAAATTAAAAATTTACATATAATAATATTACCAGTGTTCTTTCAAACTTGCTACTTTCTTGAAATTCACATAGTTATCCCAATAACACTTTCAAAGTCCTAAGTATAATAATTTTATGAAGCCTCTTTTTAATTTTAATTTTATTATTTTTTAAAGATTTTATTTTTAAGTAATCTCTACACCCAGCATGAGGCTTGAACTCACAATCCCGAGATTAAGAGTCACATGCTCCACCAAGTTAGCCAACTAGGGACCCCCTAAAGCCTCCTTTTTAAATGCCTTCTTTTAAAATAGTCATCTTTGGGGGCACCTGGGTGGCTCAGTCAGTTAAACATCTGACTTGATTTCAGCTCAGTTCTTGATCTCAGGGTCATGAGTTCTGGTTTCCCAGCATGGAGCCTACTTAAAAAAATAGTCATCTTTGGATTATTTTATGATTCAGGGTTTTGTGTCTGTTGATTGTCTCAAGCTACTTCACATAATGGTGGATGTATGATGAGTAGGGCAAGAGTGATAGGCAGTGTAAGAATGGATCACCAGTTATGTTCATTCTCAGGCCCTTGAAAGCATGCAAGAGAGAACCAGCAATTAGCCATCCCTCAAACTAGGTAAAAGCTAAATGAACCCACATTGGATGGAAACAAACAACAACCAAATCATTATGTCTTTGCTGACCACTGTGGTGTTTAATTAGCTCTATTTTAAGACTTTTCTATGCTTAGCCCTTTCTCTTTACACAAGGTGCAGCAAATCACTTCCTTATTAATAATGCATGTGTGAATCTTATCTTGGCTGTGTCTGTGTTACAGTCAATGGTCCAAATCATCAAAGTCACTGCCAACACTGGCATGCACTAGCTCACCACCCTCTTTGTTGCCCTGTTAACTGCTAAAGTAAGGAACTCAGACTACCAATGGCAGTGAGTTATTTATCTTCATATATTGCCTTTGCAGTCTTTTCTAAAGCCTAATGTTTGTCTGTCTGGGACCCAAAAGACCTTGATCCAATAAAATATTAGCTTATAGTTTCCAAACAATTTTTTCAACAGATTTAAACATATTTTTTTTCTTCATATACCTAAGCCAAAGTCATTTATATTGCACAAAACTTAAGTGTGTTAACATCACCAATTTATCTAAAGATAGTAAAACTTTTTAAATTTCTTCCTCTGGGGGAACCACCCAGCCCAAGGTTCTGGCATGCATGGGAGGGAAAAATCAGTTCAGGAGCATTATGAAGTCAGTATTCATCATGAAATGGGTATTCGGGATGATCACACCACCTGTCAAAACAATTCCCCAAAGGGAAAAATTTCACTGCAAATGTTGCACAGCTGTACGTATTACTAGCCTCCTTCAACAATTTCACTGATCCCTCCCTCTCTCCCTTATTCATTCCCTCTCTGTTTCTCACCCAATCTCTCTGTTTTCCCTCAAGCCAGCATCTTTTACTGAAGCCCTGGACAGCACCCTCGGGTAAGAGTGTGTGTGTGTGTGTGTGTGTGTGTGTGTGTGTGTGTGTGTGTGTTGGAAGGTCTCTCTGCCAACATTTTGCTCAGAACAAAAGCACATGAGGTGAGAGCAATGCCTGTTTGTGGTTTTTCATGCCCTTTCTCAATTCCTTCCTCCCCTCTGCTGTTTTGACACAGGCTGCCTTCCATGTCAACGATCCACATAAGCATTTCTCTTCAAATTTCTATTACCCATCATTATCACTCTCTTCTCAGAGTTTTTACCTGCCCTTCTCACTGGACCTCCTGAGAATTGAAAGTTTGAGATCTAGAAAGGTGATCAGTGAAGTAAGTTTCCACAATAATGATGATGATAATGAACCTATCCCTTAAACAACAGTGATGGAACAGTCAATAAGAAAGGATTGGCGTGTCTTGTACCTGCCATGGACCATGTCTAAGATTCAGTTCTCTGCAAGTATTAATGAGCTTTAAATTAAAATACAAAATAAATAAAGGCTCTTCAATGTCAAAGATCAACTGGATGAAAAACAGAGAATGGTACATTTTTTTTTTTTGATAAATGAAGCCTACTGTTTGTTTCTCCTTGCTGATTTTTCTAGTTATTTCCTATGAGTTATTTTCCCAGTGTTGTGGGAATTAGGTATTAAATATGTCAAATTTCAAACTAAATATTGTCACCAACTAACTGTAAAAAAAAAATCAGTACATTAGTGGTTTGACTCTTACTATCTCTTCTTAATTTAATGATATTTATTCAATAGTAATAGTTCATCTTCAAGAGCTATTAATTAACCAGTAAGTGTTGGTTAGGTCTGTGTTTGTGTTTACCTTTTTGTTTCCAAGGCTAGGTAATACCTTTTGATATCAAATAATGTTTTGCCCTGGAAAATTCACATTAGGAGACTGTTGTATTAATTCAGAAATTGATTTAGAAATTCAATATTAGCATAGTCAGCGTGCTTTTTGACTCATGAGAAATAGTGGGAACAATAAAATAAGTGTTCAAACTATATTAACTACCATAATGAGCATTTTCCAAATGCTCTCTTAGAGAGATTACAAACAGATTACTATCCAGGTGATTTCAAGAACTGGAAATAGTAATGAATAAAAAGAAAAAATGTGTATATATACATTATATATATATATATGTGAGAACCATATATATATGAACTGTAGTCTTTTGTTATTTTAAAGGCCCTATACTATTTAGAGAATTAAGGGCTACTTCAATTGATTAGCCGAATTTAGCAACATTTTGAAGGAGTGTAAGGAATTTTGCTTGTGGGAAGTCAGCTAATAGGTGAAGTTAGAAGCTCCACATCTTACAGGCAAGCATTTGCCTATAACCCTAGGTTCTTAGCTTCTAATGTGGTACTCTTTCTACTATGTTCCCTTGTCTCTTTCTTTTTTGTTAATAACTTTGCTCGAAATTGTGCAGCACTTTGATTTTTAGGAAAAAATAAATAGGTTAGAATATTTGTGTTGCTGTTGTATTAACATATATACACTATGACTTAATTCTCATCAGGTATTTAGCCTGCCATTCTCTAACCTAAGTCATGAGATGTCATAAATGCCAGAAATATTTTTTATAAAACTGTAGCTTGTAGAAAGTTCCTGGAATAAATGTAATTTACCCAGACCTGTTTAATACTCAGAACATGCTGCCTACTGGCCTTTACCCTTGTGATTTCTATGGACCTAGTATAATCCAATACCCCTGGGCAGTACTTGGTGAATGGTCCCCCCATACTCACATGAACATCTCCACAAAGCGGACATTTTTATTCAAGCCCTCAATGTCCTTCATTTCTTCTTCAGTGAGAGAGAAGTCAAAGATCTGAAATAACAGAAAAAAAAGACATTATTGAAAGTAGAAAATGGGTCAAGCCTGGGATCAGGGAATGGGACCAGCAACAGGAACCCTTCAAAAATTTATGAGCATTCTTTTTTTTTTATGAACAGGTTTAAAAGAATTATTCACCGTGACCAAGTGGGATTTATTCCTGGGCTGCAAGGGCAGTTCAATATTCACAAATGAATCAATGTGATGTACCACATTAATAAAAGAAAGGATAAGAACCATATGATCCTTTCAAAAGATGCAGAAAAAGCATTTGACAAAGTACAGCATCCATTCTTGATAAAAACCCTCAACAAAATAGGGATAGACGGAACATACCTCAATATCATAAAGGCCATATACAAAAAACCCACAGCTAATATCATCCTCAATGAGGAAAAACTGAGAGCTTTTCCTCTACAGTCAGGACAAGACAGGGATGTCCACTCTCATCATTGTTATTTAACATGGTAGTGGAAGTCCTAGCCTCAGCAATCAGATAAAAGGCGCCCAGACTGGCAAGGAAGATCTCAAACTTTTACCATTTACAGACAACATGATACTCTATGTAGAAAACCTGAAAGAATCCACCAAAAAATTGCTAGAACTGATACATGAATTCAGCAAAGTCACAGGATACAAAATCAATGTACAGAAATCTGTTATATTTCTTTTTTCTTTTGATTATATTTTATTTTTAAGATTTTATTTATTTGAGAGAGAGAACATGAGTGGGGGGGAGGAACAGAGGGAGAGGGACAAGCAGACTGCGCTGAGTGAGGAGCCTAATGCCGGCTTGATCTCAGAACCCTGAGATCACGACCTAAGCCAAAACTAAGAGTCAGGCGCTTAACCAACTGAGCCATCCAGGCGCCCCAGAAATCTGTTGCATTTTTATACACCAATAATGTGTATATATATATATATATATATAATATATATATATACATTATATATGTATAAAATCCTTGATTTTATACATATATAATGCCTTTTAGTTATGTTGATTGTTTCCTTCAATGTGCAGAAGTTTTTATCTTCATAAAGTTCCAATAGTTCATTTTTGCTTTTGTTTCCCTTGCCTCTGGCAACATATCTAGAAAGAAGTTGTTATGGCCAATGTCAGAAAGAGAAATCAAGGAATCAATCCTATTTACAATTGCACCCAAAACCATAAGATACCTAGGAATAAACCTAACCAAAGAGCAAAAAGATCTGTAGTCTGAAAACTAGAGAACACTTAAGAAAGAAATTGAGGATGACACAAAGAAATGGGAAAACATTCTGTGCTCATGGATTGGAAGAACAAATATTATTAAAATGTTTAATCCACCCAAAGCAATCTATACATTCAATGCAATCCCTATTAATATATAATTTTCCACGGAACTAGAACAAATAATACTTAAATTTGTATGGAAACACAAAAGACCCCAAATTAAAAAAAAAAAAGATCCTGAATAGCCAAAGCAATCCTGAAAAAGAAAAGCAAAGCTGTGGTCATCACAATTCAGGAATTCAAGATATATTACAAAACTATAGTGATCAAAACAGTATGGTACTGACACAAAAACAGACACATAGATCAATGGAACAGAATAGAAAACCCAGAAATGAGCCCACAACTATATGGTCAACTAATCTTCAACAAAGCAGGAAAGAATATCCAATGGAAAAAAGATCATCTCTTCAAAAAATGGTGATTTGTTGGACCACTTTCTTACACCATACACAAAGTAAATTCAAAATGGATGAAAGACCTAAGTGTGAGACAGGAAACCATCAAAATTTTAGAACACAGGCAGTAACCTTTCTGACATTGGCCATAACAACTTCTTTCTAGATATGTTGCCAGAGGCAAGGGAAACAAAAGCAAAAATGAATTATTGGAACTTTATCAAGATAAAAACTTCTGCACATTGAAGGAAACAATGTAACTAAAAGGCAGCCTATAAAATGGGAGAAGATATTTGCAAATGACATACCTGATAAAGGGTTAGTATCCAAAATATATAAAGGCCTCAACACCTCAACAAATAATCCAGTTAAAAAATGGGCAGAAGAACAGACATTTTTCCAAAGAAGACATACAGATGGCCAACAGACACATGAAAAGATGCTCAACATCACTCATCATCAGGGAAATACAAATCAAAACCACAATGTGATACCACCTCACACCAGTCAGAATGGCTAAAATTAATGAGTCAGGAAACAACAGATGTTGGCGAGGATGCGGAGAAAGGGGAACCCTCCTACACTGTTGGTGGGAATGCAAGCTGGTGCAGCCACTCTGGAAAACAGTATGGAGGTTCCTCAAAAAGCTGAAAATAGAACTACCCTATGATCCAGCAACTACACTACTAGATACTTACCTAAAGGATAGAAAAATACTGATTTGAAGGGATACATGCATCCTGATGTTTATAGGAGCATTATCAACAATAGCCAAGATATGGAAGGAGCCCAAATGTCCATCAACTGATGAATGGAAAAAAAAGATGTGGTATATATATACAATGGAATATTACTCAGCCATAAGAAACAATGAAATCTCTTCTTTTGCTATAACGTGTATGGAGCTAGAGAGTATTATGCTAAGCGAAATAAGTCAGTCAGAGAAAGACAAATACAAAGTGACTTATATGTGGAATTTAAGAAACAAAATAGATGAGTATAGGGGATGGAAAAGAAAAAGAGAGAGGGAAGTAAACCATAAGAGACTCTTTTCCATAGAGAACAAACTGAGGGTTGTTGGAGGGGAGATGGGTGGGGGATGGGCTAAATGGGTGATGGGCATTAAGGAGCGCACTTGTTGTAATGAACACTGGGTTTTATGAGTGATGAATCCCTAAATTCTACTCCTGAAACCAATATTACACCGTATGTTAACTAACTAGAATGTAAATAAAAAATTGATACAAAAAATAATTGTTAGTTTCTTTCAGTTCTGTCAGATATTTCCTTTTAGTTCTTCATTTATGTTGAAGCTCCATTATTAGTGACATACACATAAAAGATTTTTATGTCAAAAATTTATGAATATTAATGATGTAGTATGTGTTGGTTAATTGAATTTAAATTAATTAATTAATTAAAAATAAAAATAAATTAAAAAATAAAATTATGAATATCTGCAAATGTGAGAGAAGTTGGGCTGGTGCTGGGGGCCACATCCCCATGCGGAGTTGGGGTTCTTCTGTTCTGCTCTTTGACTCTGAGACACTCCTGCTGGGGCCGTCTTGCAGGACATTCCAAATGCACTGCAACAACATATGTTCAGGACACCTAAAATTCCAAGAGTGAAGAATTTTTTATTGTGTCTGGATGAGATGCTAAACCTCTGATTTTGGACTATGGCCTTTGTGCATTTGTTTTTAAAAATATTCCCTAGTCTCTAAATTTGCTTATGTATTTTTTTTAACTTTTAATTTGCTTTTTTTTATCCTCTTAAACATTTCTCTCATCATTTTTAATGTCTTCTACCTTTTAAATCTATTACAATTTCATTAATTTTTCTTAGCTTGTACATTTTATACTCTGGTTTTATAATTGTCCTTTATTAACATTTTAATATTTTAGCTTATTTACATTTTTAACATTTGGTTTATTTATAATGATCTTCTTTTACTGTGTTGTTTTAACTTGCTATCCCTTAACTTTTATTTTAGTAATTTATACTTACAAATTTTAATTATATAAGTGATACATAAATATATGCTTTTTTGTGAGAATTAAAACACTACAGAAGTATATGGACTTGCATAGAATAATAAATGAAAGGCCCTCTTGTTACCCACCACTACAGTCCTATTCTTCCCAAACATTCCTTCCAAACATCCAACACACTAAGAGCAAAATGCAATAATTGTATCATATTTTTATTATTCTGCAACTTTCCTTCATTCATATAATATGTCTCGGTGATCTTTTCTGACAAAATACTGACTTTAATTTAATCACTGCATTCATACTATAGCTGTAACACTATTTACCTAATCATTCCCCCATGGATTTTGTCCAAGTGCTCTTTTCAGGGAATGCTTTTCTTTGATTATTATTCAAGTACTGAGTTTATGAGATTGTGAATCAAAACTTTGCATTACATAGAAACAGTCATGAATGACCAATCACTTATAAAATAAATCCTTACTCAAACTTTCTTTTTGCTTAACATTAGTCCACTTTTTAAGTATTGGTGATTCATTTTCTTACTCCAGTGAATACATAATGTAAAGTGAAGTTGTAAATCTTGCCAAAAATGCAGGATTTCATGAAGTCAATGAAAGTGATCTTGGTTTGCTTTAATTATAGGCAAAATGTTTTTCAAACAGGAATCTGATGCAGTTAAAGTCTACTTCAGTAGATATATCAAAAGAGTGTGATTTGGAAAAAAAATGAAAGGATTTATAATCTTCAGATGAAGTTCTGTGAAATTTTACAGAATTATTCTTTTTATGAAAAGTTTAGCAAAAACTTTTGTGAAGTAGAGAACATCACATTCTGTTATCATGCAATTTTGTCAAGCGTATTTTTAAGTTTCTTCTAAGATTTAGTACACATACACAACTGTAACCTAAATTTTGTTGACTATAAAATAACTACAATTATTTCATAATTTTCTAATTTTTTTTTAAGTAGGCTCCACACCCAGCATAGAGCCCAATATAGGGCTTGAATTCATGACCCTGAGATCAAGACCTGAGCTGAGATCAAGAGTTGGATGCTCAACTGACAGAGCCACCCAGGCACCCCTTCAGTTTTAATTTTAAGGTAAACTTCCAAATTCTTCCTCCCTCCCTCCATTCTTTCTATGCAATGTTTTTCTTTATTTTATGTGGATTGATTTTCATTTTTTATGACACAAATTATCCTAAGTTATTCACTTATTCAGGATCTCACATAACTAACTACCTGATATTCTGCCCCCCCTGCCCCCCCCAATCTGCTTCTCTTATAGTAAAGATTTCAAGAAAGAGAAAGTGTTAACTGTATTAAATGCTGTTGAAAGATCTACTAGGACAAGGACAAAGAAGTGATTATTGGATCTAGCAAGGTGGAGGTCATTGGTGAACTTGACAAGAGCTGTGTCAGGGTGAAACCTTAGTTTCAATGGGTTTAAGGGAGAGTGGGGGAAAGGGACTTGGAGGTAGTGAGAATAGAATTCTCTTTTAAGGGTCTGCTGTAAACAGAAAGAAAGAACTGGATAATAGCTGGGGAAGAACGTGAGTCTAGATTGGATTTTACCTTTTAAGACTGGAGGTTACAGCATATTTGTATGTTGATGGGAGTTATGTAGTAGAGAGATAATGCAGGAGAGAGAGGGGGATTTTTGAGGGGTATGAAGGAGTTATTAGGTATTAGTAACTGCAGTTTCCAAGGAATAATAATGGGAATTAGTGGATGAAATATATAGGACAAGATCATTGTGGGGGAGGAGGTTAAAGAAATATCAGGCCAGGTTATTGGAAGGACTATCCATATGTACGTTGAATTCACTAAGAATTGTGACGGCAATAGTTTTGGAGAGAGGGAAAATGAGTCATCTTCAAGGAATGGGGGTCAGTGGATGATGGCAACAAGGCAGATAGTGGGTGGTAAAATTTGATTTTTTGTTGTTTTAATGTTAAAAATATCCTGCTTTTTAATTTTCTTCATTCTTACCTTTAATTTTATATAGTTTTTGTTTTTATGATTTAACTTTTTATTACATGATTTTTATTTCTATGACTTTTTCTTCTTTTATTGTAAACATATTTAATTTTCCCTTTACCCTTTATGTTTTGTGGACATTTCCCATTCTTTTAAAATACTTTTAAAGGTTTACTTTACCTTAGTTCTAAAAGAGAATAATTTTCTATTTTGTCAATTCTTGGTTTTAATACCCAACAAAATTTGTGGCTACAGGGCAAGTCTAAACCCTATAGAGTGGAAATTAGCTGTGATTTCCACTGTCATTTTCCTTATAGATTTATATCTCTTTCATATTTTCTTGTGGTATATGAACCTCTGAATTCCATTTCCTTATTATCAGGACTATGGAAATATATCGACTATAACAGAAATAGTTGCAATAAAATTTTTAAGGAGAATGATAGTACCTTTACTACAAAATTGTGATTCACTAAATAACAAAGTCCAAAGGCTTTAACCTTCCATTGCACAGACTACTAGTAACCACTCTCATTTTCTGAACAGTAAAATTTTGAATCCATGAAAATATTTGTTTCAGGTGCATCAAAACTTGTCTTAAATTTTGATGAACTAACATATTAGCCGTCTAGATAGCTTATTCTTTTAAGATGGCTGAAAACAGTGTGAACAAAATAAGAGGTGTTTTGTTAAATGTTAAAATGCTGTCCATAGTGGTATAACTGTTTATCATTCTTTCCTCTTTTTGCTAGTAACAGAATCCCCTTTTTCCTTTTATGAACTTATCTTCCACCATCTAGGAGGGCTGTTTGTCACATGAATTCATTTCCAGCACAGGAATAGGGTTGTAGCCCAGGGGGCCAATCAAAGTATCTTACTGGATACGGTGATTAATATGGGGGTGGTGCATGACCCACAAAGGGACAATCAGGGATTGATAGAGATCCTCACAGAAGCCTTTACCTGTGATCATCTTCACTGAGTATGAGTAATAGATTAGCCTGAAGCTGTCAGGGACTGTTTGGGTCACCATGTAGAGACAGAGAGAGTTGAGGGGGGAGGAGGGAGTGTGGAGGGAGGAAGGGAACTCAGTCCTTTTATAAATCATTTGAATACCCCTGCCTGGTCATGCCTGATTTATCCATGGATGTTCCAGTTATATGGCCCAATAAATCATGTCTCTCTTTGGTAAGTTTGAGTTGCATTCTGTCACGTGGTAGCAAAAAAGCTCTGAAGATAAATTGTCTAATATCATGAATATCTTCCCATGAAAGTACTTATATTTTCACCCTATTATTTTAAAAGGTTATATAATATTTCATTGTACAAATATATTGTAATTTGTTTTATAAGATTCTACCAAAGACTGTTTCCAGGTTTTTTTAAAAATGATAAATCATGCTCTAGTAAATATCCATATATGTGTGCATGTATGTGTAAATATAGTATCAAGATTGTTGGGTCAAATGGATATGTGGGCTTGAATTTTGATGGATCTGAAAAAGTGACATCCGCTCCTTCAAATCTTATACCAATTAATGTTTCTAACAGGAGTTTATGAAAGTGCCTTTTTTGGTACATATTCAGTATTCTGATTATTTTCCTATCTGAGGGGATAAATCCTGTCTCATTTTTATTAACTTACTTTTTGAGATCATTAAACTTATTAGACTACTTATTTATATATTTTCTTAAATAAAATTATTGAGACAAACAACTTACTTTTTGAGATTATTAACTGATGAGTAATTAATTAATTTTGCATGGTACTTTTCTATGGCTGTATTTACCTAGCAGTTTAGCCTTGAGTAGTAGCAGAGTAAACTAATCACTCTTCTCACCTGTAAGTTATGATGCTGATCACAGATTATTTATAGGGGAAATAAAGGCAATTGGCATTCATGAAGCCTAATGATCCTCTTCAATAATTTCCAAATTTGTTCCTAACTTTTACCAGAGACATTAAGGAGGCAGAAAGTTTGCTATTATCAATTTCAAATTTTATACCTTCCATTCCTGCTGTTCTGTTGGAGAAGTGAGTAGGTAGTGCCAAGAGTCAATAGGTAAGGAAACAGAAGCAATAAGGGAGCTAGGTTATGTACAAGCAGTAAGGCAATCCCCAAAATGCTGGGAACTGTCTCAAATTCAGATATACAGAAAATTCAGATTTACATTCAGATATACAGAGTGTGGGTTGGGAAGCAGGTATAAAATAAAATATGAAGGCATTACAAGTTTCTTATTAATCTGAACTGGAAGTTCTCCAAACAAACAAACAAACAAACAAAACAACTCTACTTTTTACATTTCCAGAAGCAGTTCTCTTACTTGAAAGTTTTCTTTGATCCTTTCAGGGTTAAAGCTTTTAGGAATAACAACCACTCCTCTCTGGATGTTGAAACGCAAAACAACTTGAGCTGCTGTCTTCTTGTACTTTTTCCCCAGTGCGTTTAGAAGTTCATCCCTTAGCAAAGGTGGGGAAGATAGATTCACCCTTAAAAAAAAATCAAAACCTGCATCATATTTAGCTCAAGTAATAAGAACAGATGGTTAGTCAATCACCCTCCTCCTCTGTCTCCCCATCCACCTGGTCACCTACCGACACTTGAGGTCCCCTGTAACCAATTTCTCAGAGTGCAGAGCACTCAGTGAAGAATTGCTTTTAGCATGAAAAGATCAAGATTTTATATGTCAGTTACATTTCAATAAAATGAATAAATGGATAAATAAAAAGAAAAGATCAAGAGAGGCAAACTGAAGGGGTGCCTGGGTGGCTCAGTCGTTAAGCGTCTGCCTCCGGCTCAGGTCATGATCCCAGAGTCCTGGGATCGAGCCCCGCATCGGGCTCCCTGCTCAGCGGGAAGCCTGCTTCTCCCTCTCCCACTCCCCTTGCTTGTGTTCCCTCTCTGTCAAATATGGTCATGGAGACTCTTTGTCAAATATACCTAAACTAACATTTATGGAGCATTTCCTATGTTTCAGGCACTGTTAGGTAATTTATACATACAGTATAATCAATTCTTATACCACCTTTGTGAGGAAGGTTTCATTAGCTCCAACTTGTATATATAGAGAATGGCTCGAAAGATTACTTTCTTAAAATCACAGAGCCATATAGTCATGCCAATCAAGTAACTCACATTAGTCTCATACTCTATACCAAAGGAAACACTGCTGAAGAGACATACAGCATTGCTTACCAGTTTGGATTCCTAGAGGTCCCCAGAGGGCTGTGTGCAATAATGACAATGTCATGTTGTTGGCAAAATTTCAAGAGTTTTGGCTGGGTGAAATATGGATGGCACTCAACCTACATGGTTGCATTGGAGAGCAGAGCACAAAATTAAAGCCTTGTAGGGAATGCAGTTTTTACACAGTTTTAAAAAAGTTTTTTGATAAAACCCATTTACAAGTATTATGGATAATGAGGCAAATGCTAAATATTGTTCCTAACAAGGAAGTTTTCATTGTTTATTGGTGAGATTAATTAAAACAAGGTTAGTGAGGTCACCATCTGTGGAGTAAGTGGGGAGCAAATTCAATTTCGTAAAGTTATCATAGTTTAAAACTTTGAGGGAACAAACTTAATTATTTACAGTCACCATTCCAGCAAATACAATTTTCTATAACAAAAAAACAGTCTCAAGGTTCAGATTACAGTCTTGGTAAACAGAAATGACATGTTGCAGAAGCTCCCTCTCTGTAGCTATCAAGTATCTAAGAATAATTTCACAAGGGGTAGAGCATGTATAACATGAAATCTAAAGATGAATTTTGTCGTTTTGGCCGAGAGTTCTTTACACCACCCGGTGCAGGCCTACGTTCATCTTTAGTATCTTATAAGCAAGATTCCTGCACTAAAAACATTTGTGTGACAAAGTTCTTCTCAAAGTTTCTTCTTAACCACTATGGTAATTTTTGACCTATGCTTTTCTTACCTTTTTAAGTTAAAATCAACCAAGGCTGAGTTAAAATAATTGAAACATATATTTATTATCCCATTGTCTGGAATAGTGAGTATTTGATGAGTTTTGTTTCTAGAAGGCACAAGGATATGCTACTGATGAAGTGGCAAAGGTAAACTGAGCCTCTTCATGGTGGGTCTTCTTTCTGTTCTCTAATTTGACATCCTTTTTTTCCCTGATATAATCTTGTTCCCTTACCCTAAGAAACACTTGTGGGATTTCTTCCCCTTGGAACATTTCTTAAGTAATTCTAGAAAGTAACACACGGACTAAAATAAGGCAGGAATCACACTTCTTAGTGTTTCCTTCCTTTACCCTCTCCAACTTCCAACATCGCTCTCTACTTTTTCAATTCCAATCTTGTCTATTATTGGTAGACCAGTCTCTCCAAAACATGTATTTTATCACGTCATTCCACTGCTTAGAAACTAAGTATGAATTCCTTACTTTAATGCCCTCCTGTTCATTCCAAACACAACATTTCATTTTCCCACAAGGACTCCTTTCTAATCAGATTGGCGTGCTGTTGCTTGTCTCTGGCCTATTAAATATGTAGAAGTGTGTATGTATATATCTGTATGTATATATGTGCGTGTTTATATACACATCAAACAGTTTTATAACCTACCCTTTGAAAAAGGACTTCATATGACTTGTGACAAAAGGTATGAGTAATAAGGCTATTACAATTAGAAATAAAACAAATAGATATGCACATATCTGTGACTGAAATTTAGGACTATATAGAGAGTTGCCCTGGGCAACATACTAGAAACATCTGCTCGACAAAAGCTTTTGAGTTAACATATAAACTCAACAACATAACTTAAAATAATATAATATAAATCTTTGCTTAGACAGTTGTTGGGTAAAAATTCCAGGGCATATCACTAAAGGGACAACCAGTGAGGGAAATTCTGGGGGTGGGAGTGGATAAGCTAATAAGATCCAAATGCATATGAACTCACAGAGAACCATATTCCTTCTTTTCAGAGCATTTATCTCAGTTTCTAATTATCAGTAGATTTTGTGATTGTTTGATTAATGTGTGCTCCCCACTAGACAGCTAGTGCTCCAAGAGGAAGGGTTGTGTCTGTCTTTAGTCACGTATGCATGCCTAGAACCTAGCAAAGTGCCTGGCATAAGGCAGGTGCTCAATGATTGTTGAATGAAAACATAATGATACAGAGAGGACAAAGCATCTTAGGAAGCATTACTGATGCTGCAGACTGTTACAGGAGGGGTTTTATAAGGACTGCAGCCTGGTGGGGTCATTTCAGGCTAGTGAATGATCTTTGTTTGCTATGCTGGCACCGGATGCTCAGTTTAAGGTGGAAGGTAGTGATGGTTTCTGTTGTCACAGTACCTTGATGTCATCATTGCCCAGGAACTTGCTAATTTCCCAGGAGAAGCATATCTAAGCACGCTTGCTTCCTTTTTTGCTAGGGACTGGTTATAGCCCTTTGTGGATGGGCCAGTGGAGATGTAGTCTTTACTTTTTCTTGTTTACTATGTAAAATTGACATCATTGACAGTGTCTTGACATGTCTGGGGCTTTTACAACACTATTTGGTAGTGCAGAACTTCAGATATCAAAATCTCACAAGGTGAAGTTAAGCTGGACAGAACCTGTGAAGGAAGGCATTAACCCCATCCTGTGTCTTTCTGTAAAAAACGGTGTTGAATTTTCACTTCATTAAATCAAACTCAAAAAATATGTATTGATTCCTAAATCAGGACACCTGGGATTTAGGCATAGTGAATAGGGTTAGGAAAAACTGAAGAATTTGAAAATCTTTCCTTTCTCCCCACCTCCCTCCCTTCATTTGTTAGTAGAGTTAGGTGTGTGAGATTAAATAGCCTGAGGTAGATCCACAGTCTCCTTTGAATTAGGCTGGGAAAACACTGCTTGACAAATTGCCCACCAGGAAGGCTTTCAGAGAGATTAAGCCGGGGATGGAGCCTAGAGACACATTTGTTTAGATAGACATCATGGGTAGTACTAAGGAAGCTTGGAATGCTCAGGCTCTGAGAATGAGTATAGAGTGCCCACTTCATAAAGTCTATGTGCCCTTGTTCATAAAGTTTATGTGCCCTTGTTCATAAAGTCTATGAAAAAATATAAAAATCTGCAAATTATACTTCAGATTTATTCTAATGGGAAAATTAGTTTTTAAATATGTGAATTTTGAATTTTGCAAGGTCTTCAGGTATGTATTCCTTATATATAAAATATGCCCACCCTCTATAAGGCCCACAATATGTCATCATGTTCCTGGACTGAAAGCTGTTTGAATGTGGGCACGGAAAGCTGCTCATTTTGTGTCTCTGGAGTAGAGGTAGTCCTACCCAGGGCACAGGGTAATGGCTGGTGGCCAGTAGACCTGCACTTGGATCTGTACCATCTCTAGAATATTGGTATATTCACCATGAAGTAAATGAACAAGCTTGGGATATGATTTTCCGACATGTCTTGTTTCCCTTGCAGGGTACGTTTGTGAAGCTATTCATGATTCTTGTGCCAACATATCAGGGTATTTCCTCCTTGGCATGAGGAGACACACTGTCAAATTCGTATTCCATTTTTCATTCTGAGGTCAAAAATCTCCATCCTCCTTTGTATATTTGAAAGAAGAAACGTGTCATTTTAACTTTTTATAACAAAATATTATTCTTGGGGGTGCAGGAGAGGGACGTGCTGGTGAGGTTAGAGTAGGAATAAAGGGATAGATTGAGATCAGTTAGGAAGTCAAGGGTTGTTGCTATCTGCTCCTTAGAGCATATGGTATAGTGTTGGCTTAGGTGTCAATTAGGAAGTAATACTTCTAAATATATAGCAACACTTTTATTTTAGCTGGCTATTGTCATGATAGGTAATAATTCATTCTTTCTGTTATGAACTCAAGACAGTTTTGAGTTACTAAAAACAACGAATCAAGCAAACAAGTCAACCATAACTCCAATATGTGAATATTTACCCTAAGAATTTTTTTTTAAAGATTTTTATTTATTTATTGAGAGAGAGAGCATGAGAGAGAGGAGGGTCAGAGAGACAAGCAGACCCCCTGCTGAGCAGGGAGCCCGATGCGGGACTCGATCCTAGGACTCCAGGATCATGACCTGAGCCGAAGGCAGTCGCTTAACCAACTGAGCCACCCAGGCGCCCACCTAAGAATATTTTTTTAATGTAGCTTCTTAGTGTTTTATGAAGTAGGGTGAAGAGAGTATCATTATGCCCATTTAACAAGGTGGGTAACAGTATTTTGTTGTGATTATAAAAGTAACATATGCTCGTTACAGAAGATTTGGAAAATACAGGAAAGCATAAAGAAGAAAACAAAATTCACTTGTCATTCATAGCCAGAGATAGCCACAGTTAGTATTTTGATATATTTCTTTCCAATATTTTTTCTATGCATGTTTTAAAATAATACATTCACATCAATACTGAATTACATTTTGTATCCTGGTTTTTCCCCTTAATATCATGGCCATTGCTCTTTTGCTCAAAAATGATTCAAGAACATCTTTTATTAAGATTTTACATTACAGGGCGCCTGGGTGGCTCAGTTGGTTAAGCGACTGCCTTCGGCTCAGGTCATGATCCTGGAGTCCCGGGATCGAGTCCCGCATGGGGCTCCCTGCTCAGCTCCCTGCTCGGCAGGGAGTCTGCTTCTCCCTCTGACCTTCCTCCCTCTCATGCTCTCTGTCTCTCATTCTCTCTCTCAAATAAATAAATAAAATCTTTAAAAAAAAAAAAAGATTTTACATTACATGAGTTTTATAATTTATTTAAATATTCCCCCAATTTTTCATATTTGTGTTGTTTCCTTTCCATTTTTTTGGCCTTTATAAACAGTACAGTGACAAATACACATAAAGGCTTTCAGATTTTTTTTTTTTCACAAGGATAAATTCTTAGGAATGTAAGACTGTGAACATTTTTTAAGGCTCTTGACACTTATTGCCAAATTGCTTTCCAGTAAGGCTGAACAAATTTGTACTTTCCAGCACTTTATCACTTGCTTATATGGAACATTATATTAAAAAATAAAACAAAAGCTTTGCTAATTTGATATACAATGCGAAATAATACTTAAATTTAAATTTCTGTAATTACTAGTGCGGTTGAACATTTTTCATATGTTTACTAGTCTTGCAATTTGTCTTCTCGAATTTCTGTTCACAGTTCTTTTGCTCACTTTTCTGTTGAGCCTTAGTGTTTTATCTTTGAATTTTTCATTAATTTTTATTAGGCTTTTAATTCATAAGGATATGATCCCCCTTTTCTATTATATTTAAACTGTAATTATCCATTTTTTGCTCTTTGTTTCTAATATTTTAGAATTTAATGTTTTTATGCTATTAAATATGTCAATTTCTTTTGTAATTTTCCCATGGCTTCATTTTCTATCTATAGCTCTAGAAAACTAAAATCGTTTTGTAGTATGCACAAGGGACTTCCTCTTTCTTCTTTAACTCCTGATTGAAGAGATACTAGGAGTAGGACATGAGGCAAAGATCTGTATTTGTTTCTACATAACTAGCCATTTCCTCCACACTATTTCCTGAAAAATTCATCCCTTTGCCATTAGTTTGTGTTATTGTTTCTACATTAAGTTTTTATTACACTTGGGCCTGTTTCTAAGATATTTCTTATTTTCTATTAATTTGTATGTTGGTTCTTACGCTAATCTTACATAATTTTAAGTGCTCTGTATATCTTAATATCTGGCAGATCTAGTTCCTCCTCATTATTTTTCTTCAAAAAATTTTTTGGATTATTTTTGCTTGGATTTGAACTTGCAAATTTTTTTTTAAGAGACATAAATTGAGAGGTGTCAAAAGACTTGTTCCCAGGGTCTTATGACGAGATATATGTAGAGTGACCACAAGATTTCTGACTCCTAGTCCAGCATTCTCCTGTTACGTAAATATTGGAATCTCCTCCTACCCTCACAATCCCCCTCTCACCTCCCACCTCCCATCAAACTGTACCTGGTTGCTGACTGGCTTATATTTGAGTCCTGGTTTGTTCAAGATGAGCTCTAGCTGCCTGCGGTTAAAATTGGATACTCCAAGAGATTTCACCAAGCCAGCATCTTTGCAAGCTTCTAAAGCCTGTTGAGGAAAGGTCAAGGGGTTAAGAAAAAAGCCTCAAAACAAATGATAATGTTTATGAGGGTGACTATGAATCTTTAAGAAGGAAAGTTCTTGGGTATATTAATAGGCATTCTGTGAAGAAAAAAAAAGTGAGAGAGGCAAGAATTCTATAATTGAATTAGTGTGGGAAGTATTGTACAGTGTATCTTCCCTAGCATTTTCACAATGTATACCAGTCCCTTAAGAATGATCTTATTTCTTGAAATCTGTTGAGATTTGGTTTATAGCATGGTACCTGATCCATTTTCATAAATGTCTGGGGTGTGTGAATATGTATATTTCCTTTTATTGGATATAAATCTCTCCTCTTGCTCTGTACCTCTCTCTCATGCATATATATATGTATATATATGTACATACATATATAAACACACACACATTATATGCAAAATTAGGTCTAGCTTTTCCTGGCTTCTCAATAATTTAAAGGACTATGTCAGAAATTTCCCACTATATTAGAAGACTTTATCAATGTCTTCTTATAGTTTATCGACTTTTGCTTTATATATTTTGAAGATATTTTATATGGTACATATGTGTTTAAAATTGGTATATTTTCTTGGTAATTTGAATCTTTTATCATTATGCTATTTATTCTTCCCTATAAATTTTAGAATCAGCTTTTCAATTTCTTTTGGTATTTTGACTGGGATTCCATTGAGTCTTTCAATCAATTTGGGGAAAATTAACAACTTAATGTATTCAGTATTTCTATCAAAGAACATGATATATCTCTCAACTTATTTAAAGTTTTAAAAATTGCTCTCAGTAGTGGTACCTGGCTGGCTTAGTTGGTAGAGCATGTAACTCTTGATCTTGGGGTTGTGAGTTCAAGCCCCACATTGACCATAGAGATTACTTAAAAATAAATTGTTCTCAGTAATGTATCACATAGTTTTTACTGTTTAAATCTTGCACTGATTTTGTTAAATTTATCTCTAAATACTTAATATCGTTTTTAAAAAATTTAATTTCCAATTGTGTGTTGCTAACATATACTTTATATATAAATACAATTTTTACTTCTTGTCCTATGGGTTATTTACATGTATGCTTTTTAGTTTCCAAATATGTGATGGTTTATCAGATTGATTTTTGTTATTGACTTCAAATTTAATTCTAATTTTATCAGACAGACTTTGCATAAAGAATATTATTAAATGTATTGAGTTTTTTTTCATGTCTCAGGCAATGGACTATTTTGTTAAATGTTCTATGTGCACTTGAAAAATAGCATTTTGTTATAGTTTGTGAAGTATCTATAAATATCAATTAGGTCAAGCTGGTTGATAATGTTCATATCTCTTCTATAGATTTCCATCTACTTATCTCAATTATTGAGAGAGAGGTTTTGAAATCTTTGATTATAATTGTAGATTATTCTCTTTCTCTTTTCAGTTCTCTTCATTTAAGCTTCATGTATTTTGGAGTTCTGTTATTAAGTGCATAGATGTTTAGGATTGATCTCTTCATTATTATAAAATTTTGCTCTGAAATCTTTGCTGATATTAAAATAGCTACTCCAGCTTTCTTTTGATTACCATCAGTCTAGTATACCTTTTTTATCCTTTAAATTTTTTTTCTTAACCTTTTACTTCTAGTCTATTTGTGTCTTTTTATTTAAAATGGATTTCTTTAATATATACATAGTGGCATTTTGCTTTTTATCTATTCTCATAACCTCTGCCTTTTAATTGAGTTGTTTAGAATATTTACATATATTGTGATTATTAATATAACTGAGTTTAAATCTCTTATCTTGCTCTTTGTTTTCTATTTTTCCCATCTATTCATTTTCCCTCTTCTTTTCCTGTCTTTTTCCTGATTTATTATTGTTTCTTCAATTTTTTTTCTTTATTGTCTTGTTTGCTATACTCAGGAAGTTTTAACATTTTCTCTGTACTTTGATATTCTGAAATTTCACTGTAATGTATCTAGATAAGGGTTTTCTTTTCTCTTTGGTAATCCATGCCCTTCATCTCTTTTTTTTTTCTTCAAATATTACCTCTTTTTCTTTTTTTTTCTGAGGCTCCTATTGTATGAATACTAGAAATTCTAATTTTATCCTTTACATCTCTTAGCTTTTCTTTCATATTTAAAAAATTTTCTTGTCCTTTTCTTCTTCATATTGGGTGGTGGGGCTGCTCATCCTGATCTTTCAGTCTGATAATTTTTTCTTTGTCTATTTCCATTCTATTTTTATCCCATTGATTTCACTGTTTTACATTTTTCTAATTACTATTTTTGCTTGTTTTTTAAAAAATGTATTCTTGTTCTTGTTTCATATCACTAACACCTTATCTCCTTGAATATATTAATTGGCTAAAAAAGTTAAAAATTCTTGGTCCTCTGTTCTGTTTATGCTTGGATCTCTAATTAAGATATGATGTTTCTTTGTAAAATAAATGCCTTGTAATTTGGGGCTGTGAACACATTTTTTTCCCTGGGGATACAGGCTACGCTATAGGGCAATCCCTTGGAAAGGAACCCCAGACTCCAAACCTAGTCATCTACAATGAGGTCAGGAATGAGTGTATGGTCTCTTGGGTGGAGAGCCCCAGGCATCAGAAAACCCAATCAATGCCTCCTCACCCCTCAAAACAACTCCACAATTCAGATAATCAGCTATAACTACAAGGGGGATGTCCATTAGAAAGAGGTACTTGTTAGAGTGTAATTTCCCAGCCTTTGGAGTTTGGAATGGGAGAGGGAAGGAAACAACTGCCAGACGTCAGACAGTAACTCATGTTTTTCTCAGCCTCTCACAAGTGCAGGATTTCAGTGCTACTCTGATTTGATTCCTGAAGACATCTGAACATGAGTCTTACATTTCTGTGTGTGTGGAGCAGACAATATTTGTTCCAAGGCTATAGCAGGAGAGAATAAAAAGCCAAAAGAACTCTAAGGTCCTCTCCTATGTTATCCTCTTATAGCTTATTAGGCTGCCTTCTACTCTAGGTAAAAGCGGCCATATTACCTCATAAAGAAACCAGTTCAAAATATCTGTACCCCTCACCCCCAACATGAATCCATACAGGTTTTCTCATTACTTCCCCATCGTTTTCCTAATCTTATGATCTTGGGGAAGGAGTCAACAGCTTGCTCAAAATTGGAACCAGAATTATTGTTTCAGTTTTTCATGTATCATTTTGTTTCTTTTAAACATACTAATGATTTTTATAAATTCAATTTGAGAAACCAAAAATTTGTGAATTTATCACATTTATATATTTTTATTTACAGTTACATTAGAATTTATTTCCTTTCTTTTTCTTTCTACACTTCTCTCTCCTTTGGCATTCTTCTTTTCCATCAAAACAAAATCAAGAATTTTTCAGTGCAGAGAAGTCGGAATTTTACACATCTTTGCTTATGGTTAAAAATACCTGTTTTGAAATACCTTTCCATTAGGAGTAAAGGCTGCATCTCTCCATAAACTGAACAGGAAAAACAGTTTAAAAATACAGTCTTCAAGAAAAGAGGCCCATTTAAACTTACCTCCCAAGTGGCACACAGATTTGACTTGTGATATAACCATTTGCCATTCTCATCTTTAGGATAGATTTCATCTCCAGGCTACAAAAAAAAAATGAACATAACTTATTTTATCTATATCTGGGAATTAAAATTATGGAATTTGAGTTGTCATTATGCCATATACCCTGGCCCTGGGAAAGCAATTCAATTTTAATTATTTATATATTTACATATAATAAATATGATACATTAATCTCATTATCTCACCCTGGCATTCATTTTCCTTTATTTATTGACAGATTATTATTGTTCTTAAACCATGAAGTTCTGTCATAATGAAAGGAATCTGTTCAACAGCCTCCCACTCCGACCCCAGCCATACTTAGACACAAAACTCACAGGTGTCTGTACTTTGCCCTAACTCTGTTTTTCTAGGTCATTTTTGGAAAGTAGACCCCAACTACAAAACATATTCTTCTCTAGCCTCACCACAACCCACATCCTGGTAGAACCCTGGACAGAACCCCTTGAAAAACCTGCCATCTCTTGTTCTACCTGGCCAAGAGTTGACCCCCTCCCCACCCCCCCACCCCCACCCATGGTTACAGCTATAACCCTCTCACATCCTTCAAAACCCCTTAAAAGGCCCAGCCTAACTGAAACTCGGGGCTGACACTTCTCTGGATATCTGGCTCCTCTCCTCCACTGGAGATTGAATAAACACTGTCCTGTTTATTGCTCCACTCTTTGCACAATTCTTTGCCACCCTCGTCACCAGCCACTCTAACAATAACAAAATCACTCATAAATAAACAGTAGAAGTTGAGCATTAGGACTTTTAGGTTCAGTGTTTTGACCTAACCCTAACCCTTGCCAAAGTTGAGAACAGCAAATTTCTTACTCTGATAAGAAACCAAAGATCATCATTAAGGGTGAGAGGAAGTTCTCCAGCTAAGAAAAGTGTAGCTAACGAATGGAACTCTTCCTAAGTATAAGGGAAAACTCAGCACATTACTTCTTAGTTCTGACTAATCTGCTCTGTGGTTCTCTTCTTTCCCTTTCCAGCCCTCCAGGAGTTTAGCATCTGTTTTTCTACTTCACAAATTGTTTCAGTATCAAACCTAGTTTTTGGGTGATCCTTTTCCAACTAAGACTGACCATTGGTTTTCAGATTTTTCCTTTCTCACTATATGTAAAAATGGGACCCATCTGTTATGGGCTTGGAGATGGCGGGATAGAGAGAAATAAAGATGATTTCTAGGCTCCTTGGTTGGCTGGTGGTGATCATTCCCTGAGTTTAGGCTAGCCATCAAGAGTTTTGTTTTGAATATTTTGAGATTGAAATGGCAATTAGACATTCACTGGGTATGTGAGGAGGCAATTAACAGAGAAGTCTGAGAGAGGCTCAGAGAGAAGTCTTGACTGCAGACAAATTTGGGAGTCCTCAGCATATAAAGTGGTATTCAATCCATGCAACTGATCACGTTTAGAGAAGGTGCGGCCCAGTAAGACAATATTGAGGATAGAGTACTGGGCATTATGACATTTGGAGGTTGACAGGGAAGAAGCTGTCAAAGATCTTGAGAGGGTGATATCATAGAACCATGAGCTGAAAATGTTTAAAGAAAAAGGTAGTAGTCACCTGTATTGAAAGAGATCAAATAATATGGGGACAAAGTGTCTTTTAGATTTGGATGACAGGATGGAAGTCTGTAGGCCTTGATAATAGGAATTCTTTGTTGAAAATTAAGCAACTGGACAAAATCACTTATACTCTTAAAAATTTAAAAAATTTTTCCTTCTGTCATCTCACTTGAATGAAACTTCCCCCTGGTGATAATATTTTCTCCATTGTCCTTTTTAGTGAAAACAATTTCTTCTCAATTCCTCCTATCTCACTGAGAATAGGAAAAGGGTTCCTTTTTCCTCAATGCCCCATAATCATTCATGTTAATTACCCTTTCTATCTCTGATTTCTAAGCTCTTTGACCTTCTCAACACTTATGACCCACATTTTCACTCCAGTCTTTCTCTATATTTCTTACCTTTTGTATTTCCTAGTTTTACTTCTGTTCTGAAATACCTTTATGCCTCCATTATGAACTCTGTTAAATAATTTTTACTTCTCCAGATTTTAATTAAGTCCTTATCAAGTCTGCACCCATGTTAAATTTTCTATGATGCCTCCCTTAAGCTTCTGCTGTGTCTACTTTACTAATCCATTCATTCTGATAAACCCATTGTCTTTGTCCTCTATTCCTGCTCCTTACTGTAATACCTTGCTAGAAAAATAATCCAACCCTCTAGAAACCCATGCTATTGACTCTCATTCCTGCTCAGCAGTATCTTTGTTCATCTTTTAAAAATGTCTTATTGTGGGGTGCTTGGGTGGTGGAGTCGGTCAAATGTCAGACTCTTGGTTTCAGCTCAGGTCATGATCACAGGGTCCTGGGATGGGGCCCCGAGTCCAGTTCCACATGGAGTCTGCTTGAGATTCTCTCTCCTTCTCCCTCTGTTCCCCCCCACAACTCATGCTCTCTGTCTCTCTCTCTCAAATAAATAAATCTTTTTAAAAATTCCTTAAAGATGTTTTATTGTGATTTTTTGTATTTTGTTGTTCTAAAATTGTGTCTGCTTGTTAACTTGACATTTAAAAAAATATTTCAGTGCTAAAATATTTTAGCAAGAAAGGTTTCTTGTTAAAAAAAATCATGAGATTCAAAAAGCATGTGATATTTTGGATTCAAAGATTGATTTCTCAATTATAGGAATTATAGGTTCATGTGTGAAGTAATGTCATTATACTGTGTCATTTCTCACTGTTAAAAGTTTTACTGTCTCTCTGCATCCTTGAGCCTTGATTCCACCCAAGAATAGGAGTGGAAATTCTCTGTTTACCTTTCCCAAAAAGATTTTACAAATCATTGGTCAGTCACAGAGAAGTAAGTTTCATTTTCTCACTTTTAGATATAGGCTCTTTCCAAATCTTTAAGACTTAGCTTAGAAATCTACCATTTGAACACGAGTGAAGTTAGTTGTGTGAGGATGAGGGCTGAGGTTATAACTCCCAAGAACCTGAAATATAAAAAGTCACTATAGTTTACAGGGTATTGGGATTGCTAGGTTTGGGAGGACAAGTATGGGGGTTGGCATCTGGGAACCCACCATCTGGTCCCATTCTAATGAAATTTAAACCTGAGTGAGTTACTTCCTTGTTTGGGTCCTCAACTTTCTCTTCTGTGAAACTAGGTTATTGGGATATCTTATTACTAAGGTTCCCTTCCACCTAAACATTTCAGAATATTATCTTTCATTTATTATCTATAAAATGTTAGACTGTGCCAGTAATGTCACATATATAATTTTATGAGTCCTCACAACAAGGTAGTTGCTATTGTCTCCATTTTACTGATAATGAAATTGAAGTCCAGAAAGAACCAAAAAAAAAAAAAAGAAAAGAAAAGAAAGATCAAAGTGACTATTGCTAGTAAGCAATAAAGCTGAAAGTCAGTCCCTCTTCTGTGTGACTCCAAAGCCCATACAGACTTTTTCCACTGCACCATGTTTAGGTGATATGGAAAGAGATCAGGTAATAACCTGACCAGGTCATCTGGCTTGTATGTGACACAGCTGGGACTCAAACTAGGCAGCTTGCCTCTGGAACACATGCTCCTTACCACTATGCTAAGTGGCCTCTAATCAATTACAGTAGAAATCTGTTATTTTGTTTTCTATCATACCTATGTGGTCTCCTCTGGAGCAGCTCTTTCCATGTTGTTTGGGTGGGCTGACCCAGCTCTTATTCTTGGTCATAGATGTCAGTCAGTCACCCATTTGGCCCTGAGCAAAGATTAGTCGGGAATAGGTACAAGACCAAAGGAAGGCTAGTCAGTATTCCTCCAGAGGTTTAATGCATGGTCTCTCTTTGAATTCTCACGTTGTGTTGACAGTGTAGGCTTGGCATGTCAATGGCCATTTTGCCATCATACAGAGAAGGATTTTTGAGAAGGAAGCCAACCAAAACAGAGATAAAGGGCCAGTTTCATTGTTTGACCTTCTGGATCCAGCTGTGCCTAAATTAGATATCCCTTGGAATTCTTTTTTTTTTTTTTT